AAGAGATAAAATAAAAGCTGTGCGCGTGCTAAATGTGTACAATGTGGATGGTGAATGGACGAAAAAAAAATATAAATAAAACTTTCCCCTAAAGACTGGCATTGATATTATTTCCCGACCATGTTAATTTATGTTGCTAGTTTTCGCGTTGTTGACTAACTTTTCTGGAATTACTGTAAGCTCCAGTTCATTCTTTTTCTCGAAAATACATTGAATTTTGAGAGTTTAAAAAACACGTCTAGATAGTTAAGCGAAAGCTATTTTCGGAAAATTCCCTATATAAAATATAAGTTACTCAGATTTAACCGATATTGACAAACTTCCTTATAAACTCTTCAAAATGTGAATGATAGTTGGAGTTTATTCATGGCTGAAAGCACGTTTTTATGTTGCTTTCGGAACTTTGTTCAAGGATTACTAAGAACTTTCCTTGAAAGCTTCAGAGAGTCACTTGCAGAATTTCCAACTAATTTCCTGCATAAACCACAGCAGTTGAATTAAGCAAGTAAATAATTGCACATATTCCTAATTTGGCTTAGGTCTTCTTGCCCTAAATCAACCGTATTGATGTAACAGTCACGCTGAAAGCTCTAAGCACAGAAGTATCAAACGTGCCACGAATTTGCCACAAGAAAATAGGGACTAATAATAGTCGAACAATGGACTTACTAAGCTATTATATCACACTTAATGGCAGCTAGAAAAAAAATGGTTCAAATGATTTATTTAATTATTTGCTAAGTCGATTGAGCCACTTAATTTTCGTACACTAACAAAGAGTTGTTTTCATATTTTTACCAGGCCAATATTTGTGGCAAATTTATATTAATTTAGTCCGCCCCATTCTTATTTTCGGGTAAATGCGTCCTTTAACAGGTTGAAACTGTTGGAAACAAAGAACCTATTTGCTGCGTGTCAGTCGAGGCCTAAACATAATTAATCTTTTCATACATCTTATAAATCCCCAAACGGAAGTTATGAATTAAACTCGATTCTCCGGTCTAATACCAGTATTATTACGAGCGTGTACATCGAACTTTCATCTGAGGAAATGGGATTGTATTGTGGCGTAATTCGATTCCCCGTGTTTCCAGTAAAATTGTTTAGCGAAAGTTTGCTGCTGTAAAGGGTGAGCCACTGGAAATAGCAACTTTTTAAGCGAGTTACTGAACAAACATAAACTTGAAATGCCATAACTTAACTTGTGACGACAGAAAATAGTAGCAAAGCAACCCGAATGTGCTAACTTTGATCACATCGTGTAATTTCAAGAGTTGGCTGTCGACTTAATAGAAATGTTTGAAAAATTAGATACTTTAATCAGAAACGGTTGCAATACTACTACAGTTAATTGCCTCAGATTAAAGAAAGGCATATATTTTTTTAAATCTTTTGTCCTGAAAATTGATATAAACTAAGCAAATGAACAGATATTTGTTCATGTCCCTGGAAATAATAAAAATTTGAGATCAGCAAACAACCGATACTTCTCTCCTACTCAGTTACGCATCAGGCGACGATTTCAGTGTTGCCTAATCCAAAGCAATGAAAAAAGTATACTACACCAAAACTAAGCCGTAGATTTAATAATAAAGCGCTAGAAAATATTGTTTATTGATTGGTTAATAGATAGATAGATAATTTAATGTCAGCAAATATCGGTTTTTTATTAAAATTTTAAGTGGTCGTATATATACGTAACTAACGAGATTGTACTTTGGTAGAATAAAAATGAAAAAAATATGTTCATTAAAACACACGAATTAATATTATTTTGTTCATTCTTCATCCTACCCAAAAATTAAATTATTGAAACTAAGTTTTATTTCACCACAATAGTTGAATCTGATTGTTCTTGCGCTCGGTTTCTCGGTTTGGGTTTCCTTCCGCCCATTCTGTTATTTTCATTAGCACTCTGTCTTAATCTTTTTCTTGTGGTTTTTTGCTGAATTCTTTTATATATGTTTGCCCACTTTCCATGTTTTGTCTGTATTGTGAATTTTTGAGTCGTAATTTCATGTTTGAATTGCTGGACTGAGTGGCAGGACTGAATTCTTTCTCTTTCTCTCCGCGTTTCGAACAGACTAAAATTTGAATTAACCGGAGACGCATCCAACTTTATCAGACTGGTCGCCGTACTGCTAAGGCCGACCAGTCAAGTTCTTTTATTTCAATTTTTATTTCAACTTTACTCTGTTTTTTCATATACAATTTTAGCCACTTTAGATCGTTTTAACCATTTTTTGCCCATTGGTTGACATATGTATTGTTCCGTACTTTTGGGGATTTTTGCTTGCGATATGACTTCATCACAAAAAAATTTTATTCCAATGAGTTAAAAGTTGAAGTCCACTGAAAACTTTTCACAGAAACCGGAATTTCCGCCTCCATTCAGTTACAACAGCTTCACGCACTTGTGTCCAAATGGACAAGAGTCTAAATCCTTGAATCAAAAGAGCTTTTTTTCTCAATAAATTTCCTAGAAAATAACTGTTGAAACCAAGCAAAGTGTTTCTTAAGCAGTTTTTTTGGGATAGAATCCAATTTGGTGTATTTTGTCACGTCGCAATGTCTCAAAGTGTCTTTTTTCTCAATAGCATGATATTTATTTTTTTTTATATTTAGCACTCTTTCCTCATTCTTCTATGCAGAATGTTTCATGGTCTTTCAGTCCATTTTCAGTTTCGAGCCTTTTTCAGCTTTTTCAACGTTATTTATTTTTTGTGATTCTTTGTATAAAGTTGCAAAAGTCTTTTCACATATTTTTTATTTTTTTGCACTTATTTTCAGCTCTATCACGATCGGTATAATAAAATAAAATTTCTCTCTCGTTTCGTGTTTTTCGGTCGCTTTTCCACGTCTGAATGGCTTGGAGTGAGATAAAAACAAATTCTTGCCCATTTGCACCTTTTTCACATCCTTCATTGTGGAATATTTTGTGGTCCTTCAGTTGACTTTCAGTTTCGAGCGTTGTTTCAGATTTTTCAGCGTTATTTATAATTGAATCCATAAAACACCAAATAAGCATCTCATCTTTATGAGATGCTTATTTGGTTGCAGAGTTTTTATGGCAGCAAATGTGAAAACTGAAGCTAATTTACATCTTCGTCACTAAACTCCAAGTCGTCCAGGTTAATAAAAACTTTCATCACTTTTTTTGCGTGGAATTTTCCTTCTGGCTTTGACACTTTCCAGAGAAAAACATTGTATAGAAACCACAAAGAATGCCACGGTTGGTTTCAATATTTCATATTGTTTCATATGCTCACTTGAATAAATCATATGAAACGTGTGAAATTTCTGATTTATCCTAAGCGCCAGGCCCATTTGGATGAAACCACGGAAAGTGCATCTTGAGCAGTTTTTTTAGGATTTTACCCAATTTGGTGGTCGTAATGTCTCAAAATGTATTTTTTCTCACTGGCTTTGCGTTTAGTTTCTTGGGTCTTTTGCACTCTTTTCACACTTTTATTGCAGAATGTTTCGTGGCCTTTCAGTTCATTTTCAGTTTTGAGCTTTGCTTCCAACTTTTCAAAGTTGTTCATCTTTTCTGATTCTTTCTTTACCTACATTTTTACAAGGACGTTCAATTTTTAATTATTTTTCTTTCGCTTATTTACAAGTCGTTCACGAACTATCTATTTCTGTTGAATTTTCTATTACTCCACTGTTCTTTCGGCCGGTTTCTCGTCTTTTGTTTTCCTAATTTTTCCATCTTTCCATCGCGCATTGTAGTAATGTTTTTTTGTTGCTCCTTGCTAAACTGTTTCTCCTTTTTCGTTTATTCAAAGCTAACATTTCTCTCTCATTGTGTTTTTATTAGTCGCTTTTCCACGTTTGAATTGCTTAGGGTCTCAAAATTGAATCTTTTCTCCTGAGCATTTGCACTTTTTTCAGATTTTTCATTGTAAAATATTTTCTGGTCTTTGAGTCAGTTTTCAGTTTCTAACGGTGCTTCAGATTTTTCAACCTTATTTCTAATTGCATTAATAAAACTGGAAATAATTATCCCGTAAAACTACAAACAGAATTTTTATAGGGAAAAATTTGAAAACTGGTCTAATTTACATCTTCTTAATTAGACTCAAAGTTCTCCAGAATCAGGTAAACTTTCACCACTTCTTTTGAGTGGAATGTTTCTTCTGGCTTTGACATCTTCCAGACCAAATCACTCTGTATAAATTGCAAAGAAAACCACGTTTGGTTTAAATATTTCAAATTGTTTCATTTGCTCGCCCTTCCTACTTGAAAAAAACATGTGAGACGTGCGAAATTTATAATTTATTCTAAGCTTCAAGCCCGTTTTCATTTTTCACCTGCTTCCACTGAACCAAACATTTTTTTTGCAATTTAAAAGTCCAACAAAAAATAAACCGGCTTAGGCGAGAATAAAATAATGACTACAAAAACGTGAAAATAAAATATTAAAATTTCTTTTAAGACAATGTGCTTTAGACTCACGTCCAAGCAGATTAGCGCATGGACTGAGAGTTGCAAAATGTGTACAATAATAGCATGAATAATTTTAAATCGACGATTGTTTTGCGACAATTCCCATTCAGTGATTAACTAGTTCCTGAGTTCAAACAGTCGAAATTTAATGTAATATTGATTTATGACGTAATGCAAGCTAAATGGCGCTATCTGTTTTCTTATGGAATTATTGCAAACTTTAATGTGGTCCAAGAGTGGTCCAAATCCGCATATCCGCAAGACACACTCTTAAAAGAGAGTTGTTACTAAACCAGAAAACTACCTAAAACTCCTAATATCTAAGGAGACCGATGAGTTTTTTTAATTTACTGTAAAATACATGTATATTATACCTCAGAAGATACCGTTTTTCCGCTAGAGCTAGTTTCCCATATCTAAGAAGATAAACTCTAAAGCGGTTGATAATATCTCAAAAGTGGCTACCCAAATACAACGTTGCCCCAAAAGTTAGAATATTTTTACGCAAGGCTTACACAAAAATATAGCAAGCACTAGCTAGCTAGCTATAAGTTGTTATACATATATTATCTCAAAGGGCGTTTAAAGTATCTCAAACTTCAAAAGAATCATGTTGACAAAAAATTTCATGAACTATCTAAAATTAAATCAAATCATGGTCTTTGGGTGAATGAAAAATTTTGTAATACAATCCTCGGTGCTTGTTTTCATCATCTTTATAAATAACATTTTTTACCTTCTACTCTCTACTCTACGTTATCTACAGTGGTAAGACAGTTAACCATAGTTAGACTTGTAATACAATCCTCGGTGCTTGTTTTCATCATCTTTATAACTACAATTTTTTACCTTCTACTCTCTACTCTACGTTATCTACAGTGGTAAGACAGTTAACCATAGTTAGACTTCACTTGACTGACCAGCTGGTAAATTTGATAAATACAGTTTACAAATTAACGCAACGCTGAACCATTTCTCATGCAAAAACTGACTACTTTAACCAAAGTATCATTTGAATGGCGAGCTCTAACTGAAAAAAATCTGTGTTCGCTTTTTCACATTGATTTGAAGTTGTAAATTATATATCTTATAAAGCATTCTGCGGAACTGCTAAATGATTAGGCGACTGATCGGTTGACTTCAAAGTTTCGTGATTTGTATGCTTCTTCAGGTTGTTTGCCGATTGCAGACGTTGTTGCAGAAACTGGAAGAATTATAGCTTAAATGTAAAAATGTAATTTCCATGACATGTGACTGCTCACTTGTTGCCGTCTTAGTTCTGCTTCTTCCAGTTTTTCTTGCAACTTTTCCAATGAAGGCGGTTCCTTGTTTTCAGCTTCTTGGAGTTCAATAATTCTTTTGGGAGGTTGTTTGTCCTCCGATTCGTCGAACGTTATATCAAAAGACATTCCATTCCCTACATTTTTAAATTATTTCACTTGAAAGCTTCAACTATAACTGTATGCAAACCTGCTTTAAGCACGTTATTAACCATAGCATTCTCAATTTCTCCTGGATCTAAATCAATGTAATTAGGCGCGGCATCATAGCTGAAAATGGAAACAGTTATAAATGATCTAATGTTTATTGTATATGTTACGGCTAAATGCATATTAGATATATTTTGATCAAACTGTCACCTTCCCGCAAAAAGTGTGTGAGCTTTAACAAGGCGTTTGTGTTTAATGTATATAATGTTATTAGCTGGTTGATGTTCGGCTTCGGCTGGAAATATGTGGCATTTTATATTCGGACATTAACCAACGAAGCATAATTTTTCTCAATTTTAACTGGGTAATATTGAGATTAACATCACTTTAAACGATAACTCTATCATCATTATTACATAATTACCAACTTCCTGATTGTCTAGTTTTTTTGTAGGTTTTAAATAAATTTGCAAATATGTAGGCTTTTAAAGCTGAGCACAGATAAATTGGTGAAAACATTTTATTTACGGTCACACATTTTCAAGGGATTGTAGAACTTTGTTTACTTCGAATTTTCAATAGATAGTTGGATCAACAGATTTTCAAGTTTGAAATAACGAAAAAAAAAACGTTATGGCAAAGGAATATTGGAATAAATTGAATTTGTTACCTCTCTTTCCTAGCAATATTCCGGCAATTGGTTGCTATTAGAAATGTAATTAAGTTACTAAATTATAATTGCTAAATTTACGCTATTAATGCTAGAATACGTGTGCTTATACGGTGCACGTATTGACGAGAAATTTGATCATTTCTGACAAAAACAGTTCGGACCAAAACGCATCCAAAGGACACCGGCTCACAGACTACACACTATTATATTCAGACGACTGGCCTAATGTGTGCGTTCGAAGGACAACTGCGCACTTGTCTTTATCTAGGCCAGACCTGACGACGCCGTAACGCAATTCTATTAAACTCACACCGTGCCGTAAGAAGTTATCACTACAAAAAAACTTTATGTAAGCGGAATTTATTTCCTTAAACTTAGGGGCGTCGCTTTGAAACCAACTTCTTCATTCCATGTTGCCTTACTTTTTAAATATCTATGACAATGTTACTCTATTTCTTTCTAATAATGGATAGAAACATTTCTTTTTACCGGTCTGTCTTAACTTCACCATTTGAGCTATGAGCATTTCCATCCAGTGGAATAACTGCAACGTTTTTGGCAGCGTTGCATCCCATTTTCAGTACTAAAATTACCGTGGTTCCATTCGAAAATCCGATTTGATTTCACAATAACCTTTGTGCGAATACGTGTTGATCAACTGCAAAATCGTATTAGTTTTAATTCCTGATGCGGGTCCCAACAATAATCTAAACTGAAAGTGTTTAAATGAAGGTGGTAATAAAGTATTATGTGCTTATTTTTAGGGGAAGAAAATAAAATCGAATCTTAAAGAATTTTTTTTCAATCTCTCTCTCATCTCTTTTATTAATATTGTGAGATTTTCACGTAATTAATAGTTATTTACGAAACCAGTAAATAGTGCGTTAATAATATAATATTGTACGTGTTAGGTACAATATTTTATCTACAACTATAACGATTATCATTTTAATGATTAGTTGAGTAAAAATAATTAGTTATAAAACTGAATACAGAACCCAGGTAATGAGAATTTGTCATTATCATCATAATCATTGTGAAAGTGGTGCCTTAAAATTACACATTTTATAATGAGCTCAAGCGATGATCTGCCATGTGATATTGAGAACGAAGCTTTTAATGTTGTTTCGGATTTTGTACCAGGGAAACCACGGAACAAATAGCAAGAAGCTTCTGATTGGTACGAGAAATAGTGCAGTGTCATTTTGTTGTAACAGTTGTAGATAAAACTATTTACTTACTACAAATTACTTTCTGTTAATGCCATTCATTTTTCAACATTTGTTTTGTTGTCGATAAGAATATAGTATTACAATCAATAAAATAATATAAATGTAAAAATATGTTACCTTAATTCACTATGGGATCCAAACTCGATATTTTAAACTAACACTGCCTCATATCGCGAGCTCCAATCAAGTTCGACAATACACTGAAACTTTTATTCTATGTGAACATTGTTAACCGCTGACTTGCGCCCTTAGTCGCTATCCAGAAAAAGTTTACATTAACCTGGCAAAATTGATTGACGTTAATAGTAAAAGGGTATTCACATATGCCGTCTTTGTTATAGAGTAAATTGATTTTGAGGGAAACAGGGTGGTTGGGGGTAGATAATGCCGACGATCCCGCAACAAAGTAATCGTTTTTGCGTGTCGAATTGTTCACGTGTTTTTTATGATGATTTTCCAGGAATGTTTCCTCTTTTTTGTCAACTGAGTTGTTTATAGTTCATGGTGTGTCACTAGAAACCATTTAGGCGAAGATCCGTTTGTGAACCAAGTCCACAAATATTTTTGATTAGTTCATCTATGGTAATACTAACGAAAGAATAAAATCAACAATATTAGTTCAAAATTACTAAAATAATAAAGAAGCGTAATTTGGGGAATAATGACAAAATGCGCTCGCGTAGCGCAAGTTCACTCTTTGACGGATCGCTTAAATTTTTCTGAAGTTTTTCAAGCGCAGGCGTAAGTTTCCACTTGCCCTCCCAGTTCATCTAATCCTGTTCATCCAACCCACATAAGTTGACAGAGATCGGACTGAGACTGAAACTCATGACTTAAATTAGAAACTCGTTTTTGGGCCTTTAGGAGAACGAAAAGTGGATAAATATGATTACTATTATTTTTAGGTGAATTTCAGTTACTATTTACAATATTCGTTAAACCAAATTGTTTATTTAATTAATTATAATCCAATTTCTAGGTGCTCTGATTCAACTGAAAAACTCTCAGTTAGCACTTAGCGTGTTCAGCAAACTATTAATATAACGAGAGTTTCTATAAGGACGCCGGATTTTAATTGCGCCACTTATAGTGTCGTGTTTGTCCGTGCAACAAAAGGTTATGTAAAATATAGCGTACAATACACAACAAAACAAATTCTCATTGTGAAAAATTATTATCCAAGTCGTGAAGATTTTGCAGCCACAGTTCGCAAAATGAGTATAATTATGAGGCATCCGAATGCTCCAAATGAAGCCACTGTGGGAAGATTTATGGAAGAAAATGAGCAAACTACAAACCCTATACCATGGAACAAGCGTCTAAAGTGCCAAGATATTTTTCATAATAAGGAAATGAACTGCAAACAGGTTTCTGGTTTTGGGCCGACATCGCTAGTAAGAGAAAGTCTCCATTGAATCGTACGTTGGGCTGTAGATGGAGAATGTTGTGTTTTTGTGATAAACCTGGAAGATTATTATCGTACAAGGTTATCCATTTTATGCTTGGGAAAGTAAAGTAAAAAAAGAACACACAAAATATTCGCATGGAGACGAAAATTGTAATTCTATATAAACCAATATTCCTTGCCATTATACATGAAAATATATATCGATTACATACGATATCGATATATATTTTCATTTCATTCATTGATCGACAATATACGATTCAACCTTGCCATTATACGTGAAAAACAATATCATTTAAATATCCTACACGGGACCTCCTACAGGCCTCAATCCTTTTGAGGTAATTTTGAATGACTTTTCGGCACATTACCGGTAATATCTCAGTCATAATTTGCAGATGCCCTTCCCCCTATATCGTTTCCGGACTTTTGACTGAACTTGGCTTTTGAACTGTTCCTTCTTGATTTCGTATTCCTTTTTCAAAAGCGCCAATTTGGTTGGCTCGGTTAACCTATGAAAATCTCAAAAATAGGTATCATCTTTTGCAGAGTTTGTGTTTTCCCTCATGGATCTGGTTTTGGGATCATAGTAGGCAGAGTTGGGGTACAAGTTATGGAAATACTTAACGGTGTCCTCCCGAATACGCAAATGCCTCATTGTTTTTCGCTGCTTGCTGTCCACTTTGGTTCCAGGCATGTTCACTTCATTCGCGTATTTGTCCTCATCCTTTTGGTCGTCGTCCGAGCTGGCAGAATCAAGTTTATCGGCCTTTCATTTCTGTTTAGCTTGCTCAACTTGCTGGAACTCATCAATGACGCAATTGTACTCAGTTGGATTATAGGCGCTCTATCTGTCTCGTTTTCCATCAAAACTCAGGGCGAGATTTTTCTGGTCCAGTTCGTCTGGCAAAATGTTACTCATTGAATATTTAGCGGCCACTTTCTGAGGCCAATCCATACAATACTTCTTCTTATGGGTCATGGCCCCACAATTTTTAAATACATAAATATGGGTCATGGTCCCAAAATAATTAAACTTTGATTGCTGATAGATTTGTTACGACTGGACAGAATGTGAAAAAAAATTGTAGGGCCCTTATTTGTTCGTCATTAATCAATTTTATGGAAAAAAAGTGCAACGACCCCATTGTAAAAATGCATTTAATGTCGCTTGAAATCAGATTCTACGCCTTAATCTATTAATTCCAATATGATTAGACGCATATATCGTTCTTCGGTTTGATTTTAATCAATATATGGTCATTGATTGGCTTAGGTAACGAGAGAAAGGTGCGTCATTATCATTTTAGAAATAAATGTTTCATAGAACAGCTGTAAACTCTCACATGCAAGATAGTTTTCTATAATAGAGGAGGTAAAAAATTAATGCAACCTTATAATTAAAGCTCGGATTTAAGGCAAATTGCCTTTTTTTGCCTATTTTGCTTATTTCAAACATTTATTGGACGTTTTGCCTTTTTCAGAAATTTGTGTCAAGTTTTGCCTTTTC